GTGTCCCCTATGTCTGTCACCCCCTCTGTGTCCCCTGTGTCTGTCACCCCTCTGTGTCCCCTGTGTCTGTCACCCCTCTGTGTCCCCTATGTCTGTCACCCCCTCTGTGTCCCCTGTGTCTGTCACCCCTCTGTGTCCCCTGTGTCTGTCTGCTCTCTCTGGTGTGAATCTCCCATCTGCGTCCCCTATATGTGTCTCTCATCTGTATTTCCCCTCTATGTGTCCGCTGTCCGCGTCCCATGTGTGGGTCCTCTTTTTACATTCCCTGTGCTTGTCCCCTGTCTGAGCCTGTTTGTGTTGCCTGACTATGTCCCCTGTCTACTTCCTCTGTGGGTAAAAGGGAATTTTTCTTAAATGACACATGGCAGACTCATGACTTCCAGCAGGACGGCTGTGACAGTCCCTCCCTCATGTCCTCGGATGGAGTGACTCACATGCAGCTCCCACTCATCTAATAGTGTTTTCTCATTGGTGCTCGTCCAGCCTAAAGGTGCAGGCTGGTCTCTGTATGGCTGAGAACACACTTCACATCATCATGGAGGCAGTATCCAATTCCGGCTGCAATAGGAATGCACTCCATTCAGACGTCCCGGCACACCGGTTTCACAGGTTCCTGGTCCTGAAAAAATTATGTTCATATACTCATACAGCACATTCTGTTTATGGGCTGCATTGTGTTTGAAGGAGTGTGGATGTGGAGCTTTCTGTTGTACCCTTGGGTGATATCCTGTGCCTAATTTTTCCAGTGAAACTTCCATCTGAGTAAAAGGGTGTAACTGTGCTTTGGATGCAAGTACTAAACATGAAGTATGTGTTCTGTGATGCACTGGCGTCCAAGCTAGGGAGCCCCCTGGTGGTATGTCACTCCCTTCCACAGACTCTGGAACCCCTGTGATGGGGGGGGGGGAATGCTAGCCAGCCCATCGCAGACAATTTAGGGACAGGGTTGAGCCTAACTTCAGGTTACCTGGGTACAGGAGGGAATGGTCTGGCCCAGCCAATCACAAGCTTGGCCCATACCCAGGGTAGGCGAATACCAGCCAATCAGATTTTCTTTTTGTTATCGTAAATCGGAAGGAAGCTAAATATGGGAGGGAGAGGAGCTGGCACTTTGTGAGTAATTAGTTGTGTAAGTTGGCAGCACTTAATAGGGCAGATAAGTGTCAGATGGGGAGATGTGCAATGAACGGGGGCAGCTCTCAAAGCTTCCTGTAGCTGTGAGGTGACAGAGAGTGCTGCTGAGCCTGCTCCTCTTCTGCCTTTCCGCCATATCCGAGTTTCTGAGTGGATTCTATGGGACTTTTTAGTCACTGACAAGTAAGCAGGGCCAGTCCCGCGATTCCACAGAAGAGCAGGCGACTGCCTAGGGCGCCATCTTCTGGTGGGTACTGGCTTAGCAAGCCTTGAATTCCACAGGGGCACCACAGGACGGTCCGACAGAACGTGAAATTGGCACCCACCTCCTTGCACCCTCAGCTATGCCAGCAGACCTGGCAATTAATCGCACATACAATAAAAAAAATTGTTGATTAATACATTGTATTTATTTATTAGTCTGTGTGTTGAGGGGTTGGTACCCCGTCCTGGGTTTTTCCCTGCCATGAGGCCATAGCCGACGGAATAGGCTCCAGACCCCCCGCAACCCTGAATAGGACAAACGGGCACAGAAAATAGATAAATAGATAGACTGTATGTTCAGTATAGAAATTTAATTATGTTACTCTTACTGTTCTCCCACTGTGGCATCAAACTGAAATCAAAGTTATTATTAAAGAAATAATAATGTTTTGACTTCAAGATTAACTATGACATGGTAATTCATTAACGTTGACTGTCCTAGTTATTTAATTTATTCTTACAGTTTGTTTGCCTATATTGTGAGAGAGATGTGCTTAATTGTGTGCTTCCTTTCTTTATTATTGTTGATGTTATTGTTCTTAATATTTAATTTATTATATAATAATTATGTTTATTATTATGTTATTTATTCTTTATTATATTAATCAAGTACAGCCTTTATTTGTTTGCTCCTATCATTTGTGTATGTCTTGGCGTGGGGTAACCCCCCCAAGGGGGCTATTTGGACTTTCACCGGCCCTCCCTGTAATAATGTAAATAAATTATACATCTAGTTATTTATTTCTAAATGAAGAGAAGATTTTTTTGTTTTAAATCAGAGCTCTATTATCAAAAGCTAGTGCTCATCAATAATTATCAGAGGGAAAGTCTTTTTGAGACCTGTGTGTTTTAAGTTTCTACTTCAAGAAAAGGAAATGCAGGAAAATCTTGGCATGAGAAGTGTGGGAGGGCATGTTTTCTTTCTTTTTTTTCTTAGGATGCATTTCACAGATTGAAAGGAAGACCCACACAAGGCAGCTTTTGGAAATACAAAGGTGACATTTATTCTCTTTCTTGAAACCTTTAACAATCCTTTCAACAATAATATGTCTCACAAAATTAAAAAAAATTCGTAAACATACACTTAGACCGATTCACAAGCATTAAATGTAGAGTTAAAGTCATTCCAGCTGGCACACACTCATAGACACACACACAGGCACACACACACACACACACACACACACATTCACAGAGTAAAAAGCAGTCACACTGGCTTCTCCGGCATGCATGCATGTTTCTCTGATCCTCACATCCTGCTTTGACTTCTTTCTTCTCTCTCTCTCTCTTTCTCTCTCTCTCTCTCTCTCTCTCTCTCTCTCTATCTATCTCCCTCTCTCTCTCTCTTTTTTTCCCTCTCGCTCTATCTGTCTCCCTCTCTCTCTGACGGATCATCTGGCCATCTGCTATGCTCTGGGGGAGTCCAGCTGGGTAACCTCAGGGCTACAACTGTCCCCAGCAGGGGGGCCGTACCTGTTGAGCTGTCCCCAGACACTCCCCTGTCTTCACGGACTCGGCAGGAGGTGGCTCCCTGTGTCGGCGCCACTCGGCGGGCTGTCCGGCATGCCCACTGCTCTGATGGCAGCCATCTCACAGGGCACATCTCAACCAAGCTCAGTGGCAGCGGTTTGCAAAGCCAAGGCCCATGATGCTTGTCTGTCTAACTCTCCTTCTGTCTCTCTGCCTCTTTGCCCATGGATCTGTATGCCTGTATCTTCCTGTCTGTATGTATACCTCTCCGTCTGTCTTTTTGTCTGCCTTTTTCCATCCATGTGTCTGTCTGTCTGCCTGAATCTACCTCCCTCTCTGTCTGTCTGTTCAGCCTGCTGGGCTTGAGCCCAGTCCTTCCTATTCCAGTCCAGTCTGACTGCCCCAGTTGTAAGAGCTCCCCCCGCTGGAAGGTGAAAGTAAGGTGAGGGGATATGAGCAGGCTGGATAGGATGGAAATCCCATTTTTTTTCAGATGTTGGGAAGCCTTGTCACCCAAAGTAAGAATCACTGCTGAAAAAGACACAGACAGACTGCAGCAAAAGGACTGCAGCTGTCACGACCCTGTGACCCTGCTGGTGTGTCCTCACGCTCTGAAGGCACTGGCGGTCCTGAGAGACAGGACCTGTCCGCTCACCACTCTGCCACGCCGGCCGCCGCACGCCTCCTGTTAGCTCCCATGTCCTGCCTGTGATCCCCATGGCTGACTGGTCCCACTGTCATCTGGCCCAAATTCGCTTGTTAAAAGTGAATGGAGCATCTGTCTGGCAACATCTTACCTCGCCGACTTTAAAACTGTTTACAGCCAAAACTGAGAGCGGCGGCGGTGGAAGGCGTCTGCTAATGGAGCGGGAGCTACAGTTTCTCACACTGATATCACCGTGCGTGCCAGCAGCGACAGTGAGGACAACAGTGAGGCCATCACTGCCCCCTGCTGCCAGCGAGAGGCATCTGCAGCCATATTTATGCATGCTGCACTGAAAACTATTTTAAGTAAATAGTAAGAGTAGAAAAAAATCGTAGTGCTGTGGTAGTTTAAGTAGCAGCAGTAGGATTTAAAGTTGACCAAAGTAGAAGTAGCTGTAACAGTGTAAGCGATGGCTCAATAGTACCTGCAGTACAATGACAGCAGCACCACAGGTGCCATTACACTGGACTGTCAGTAGAAAACTGAAATATCAGAAACCGTAATTTTTTTTGCTTACAGCCCTGGCTGTTCTGAGCAGCCATTCTGTTCCTGTTTTGTGCTTTAGCAAGAGCAGCAGCGGCTGAATGTATTTTCCCACTGTCCCTCCTGTATCCACAGAATCCCACAGTTCTTTCCAGTATGGCGCCTCCTAAAGGATTGGAGGTCCAGGAAAGTCAACTGAAAGGAACCAAGATACGGGTGTTTGGGGGCAGTGAAGGAAAAAGGGGGGTTTTCAAATCTGCAGGACGAAGGGGACCAGTGAGCAGTCAGCCAAAGAGCATGTGCATGAAGAGAGTGACGGCACAGAGGTGAAGGACGGTAAGGAAAGGGGTGGCGGAGGAAGAGGAGGAGGGCGAGGAGGGGAAGTCGAAACTGGGAGGACACTCGAGCTCAAAGCAGCGCATGGAGGTGGCGGCTGCGTCCTCGTTGCCATAATTGGCCCAGTACTCCTCGGGGTCCAGCTTGGGCAGTGCGGCCTCCTCCTCCGCGAACTCGTACTTGGCGGAGGAGACAGCACTGTTGGACCCGGGGGAGTCATGGGGTTTGCCCGCGTGGAAGGGGAACGCCTTGATGGTCTCGGAGCTCTTCTCGAATACGCCCTTGGAGGACGCTGCAGGCTTGTGCTTGGAGAACCACCAGCGGGTCTTAGTGCTGAAAGTGGTGGTGGTGGTCCCGGCCAGGGAGCCTGGATCTGGCAGTGGGCAGAGGGCGAAGTCCATCTCACGCAGGAAGCGCAGGTCCACGCCACGGCGGGGTGTCGGCGACGAGCACATCAGCTCTGAGCTGGAGACCCGGGACCCGCGGAAGAACTCCCAGAGCTGCCGGGCTTCGCAGCCACAGGACCACGGGTTGCCATTGAGCCGCAGGAATTGGACAGCGCCGGCGTCCCGCAGGACTTGGCCTGGAAGCTCTGCCAGCGAGTTGTTGAAGAGGAAGAGCATAGTGAGGCGGCCCAGGTCGCGGAACGCCCGGCGGTGTACCTGCTTGATACGGTTGTCGTGCAGCAGCAGCCGGTCCAGGTTGACCAGGCCACGGAAGGCGTGCTCCGAGATGGTGCGGATGCGGTTCCCGTGCAGGAACAGCTGGTTAAGGTTGACGAGGTCAGAGAAGAGGTCATCCTGCAGGAAGTGCAGCTGGTTCTCCTGTAGGTAGAGGAACTGCAGGCTGTAGAGCTTGTGGAACAGGTCATGGGGCAGGGCAGCCAGCCGGCAGCGGTGCATGTGCAGGCTCTGCAGGCGCTCAAGCCCCCGGAAGGCCCCGCCCTCCAGACGGCGCAGGGTCGGGTTGTCCCCCAAGTCCAGCTCCTCCAGCTCGCGCAGGTCACTGAAGGCTCCAGCCTCGATCCAGGTGATGTTGTTGGAGAAGAGCCAGAGGACCTGGGGAAACATGCCTGGTTAGTGTGGGAACTCCCTCGGCATCTGTAAGCATTCTCACTTTAGGAATACGTGTGGAATCTTCACATTTTTATTACAATAATTTCAATAAAAAGCAAAACAAACATCCTCATTCACACTCGAGTTGTGAGCCAAAGGGCCTCCAATTGTAGCTCACACCCTCTCTTTCACACACACACAAACATAAGACACGTGTCACACACGCACCTGCGTCCCAAAGCCAAAGGAGTCGACACGCAGCTCGGTGATCTGGTTGTTCTGCAGGAAAACGCGCTGAGAGCTGTATGGCATGCCAGACGGCACCAGCGTGAAGTTCTGAGCCTGGCAGCTGACCGTCATGGGGGAGGGGTAGCAGACGCAGAGGCGCGGGCATGCCGTAGCTGGGCTGGAGCTCAGCAGGAGCAGCCAAAGCACCAGGCACATTGCAGCGCCACCTGGAGGAGAAGGGACCGCATGGCGGCCGAGGCTGTGTAAAACACCTACTTTGACACTTAATTTTTTTATGCGTAAAACTGCTGAGCATTACAGGTGTCGGTCACAGAACACCTTCTTGGATTTAAGTACAGAGTGTCTTCGATGGGTGTTTCAGGGCCAACTTGGCGAGATTATTCTGAGCCCCCGATATCCAGCAGAAAGCACATTTTGTCAACTCATTTATATTAAAACATTATAGTAGCACAGAGTATGTGGCTGCTAGTTCACGTCTGTTTCACAAATAATTAACATAATTAAACTAGTTAAAATAACTGTAATGTCACGAAACTGCGCGCAACCAGAGGTAATTCTATTTTTTATTTTCACTTGCTTCTTGCGCTCCCTGCGCCCTAGGCGATCGCATATGTCGCCTACAGGGCCGGCCAGCCCTGAGGTATTTCGTTTGACCACCAGGAGCTGTCCGCCGCACTGGTGCTGAAATGCGTCGCTGAAACGCAAAGTGATTTACGCGGAAAGGCCATGAATTACAGCGGGCATCCTGTGAGAGCATGCCGTCGAAACGCGCTTCTACTTTACGGTGACCCCATGCATTACAAGCAGCTTCACAGCTCCGGCCCTTAAGAGCCGACAAAGTGGCACAGGCATCAGTGACATGTCCGCCTCCTGATTGCGGTGCCAAGCCAGACAGACCCATGCACAGATTTTAATGCCCGAGAGATGAAATACCTGCTACTCCAAAATGTTTGTTCGTAAAACTGACTCAAGTTAAATGTAGTACGAGTGACATTTTCACGGACGATCATCAGAATCTGCAGTTAGGCTACTTAGAAATTTCCAATGTATTCTGCAAAGCCTAAAATCCATCAATTATAAAAGAAACAAGCAAAAAGGGAAAAAAGCAATACCAAGTATTTAAAGTACAACCTATAAAATTCTTAGTTCCAGATAAGAAACACTGAGACCGTTATCATGCAGAGAGCGCCGGGGCATCCCGGGCAGACTCACCCCCGTAGCGGCCGCTGTAGCCCGTGCGGTAAATTTCAGCCGAAAAGCTTTCCATCTCGAACCAAAGCCGGGAGCGAGTTAGCCTGTTCTGGCGAGTCACTGCCTGCTATCTCCGCCGGAGCTCTGGTTTGCGAGTCGGTGTCGCTTGTGGCGAAGCGATGGAGAGAGTGCCGAGTTAGAGCTCCGGTGCCGAATTTATAGGCAGCCGGGGGGCGCCTACGGCAGTGGGCAGCGCCGGGATCTCTCTGCGTAAGCAGCGGGGTCACGGCGTGGCGCGGGCGGGGGAGCGCCGAGGAAGCCGCTTCTCACATGGCCGTTTACGGTGACAAGCCGTAGATGGGCAATGATGCATGAAAGAGAGGATGGTGGGGGTCGGCACGGCGCCCGGCGGTGACGGAGCGCCGAGGAGGAGCAAAGCGAGGCGGCGGCATGTCCATGTCGGGTTTTGGCGTCGGAACAAAACCTTCAGTGATGTAAGAAAAAAGACAAGAAGACGGTAAGTTAAAGGGTAATTAGGGACGAAAGAAAGGAAACTCCGCCAAGTACAAATTAGGAACTAAAATAAAACTTTTGCTATAGTATTAATATTTTGGTGTGATGATTTATCTAAAATGAGCTAATAAAGGTTACTGCATAAGAATGATTTTGCCTTTGTTTTTTGTCATTGAAGTAATAATGATACAGTCTTGAAGTAATAAATGAACACACAAACCAATAAAACACAGTATGGGAAGTGGACAATACCTGAGTAATATCTCAGGACCAATGTGCAAGATGAACATGAACAGAAGTGAGTTCCTGGGAGATGAACATGAACAGCAGTGAGTTCCTGGGAGATGAACATGAACAGCAGTGAGTTCCTGGGAGATGAACATGAACAGCAGTGAGTTCCTGGGAGCATTGTTCTGGCTGGGATGATTCCAGAAGAAAGCATAGGAAGCCCAGCTGAAACGTGACTGCAGTCGGGAATTAGCCATGGATGCTGGATGCCGACGGTACGGCCACGTGCTTGTGCAGTTTGTGTCTCCTAGAGGGAGTCTCCATGGAGGCGGCGGGGGTGCGGGCAGCTGAGACGTGTCCTGAAATGCGGGGGCTGGTGAGCTCACACCCTGGACTTGTGCCCTTCTGGGCTGGAGTCTCCTATCAGCTTCTTCTCAGAGCTGCCGTTGGACAGACATGTCAGAATAAACATTTCTGCCATTTACACATGTTCTGTATGCAAGTGTGTTGGAGTGAACTGGGAAATGTGTACATCTAAACAAGGGTGTAACTTTGGTTTGAACATTGGGGCGGGGGGGTTGAGGTCAACATCCATTTAAGGGGAGACATAATCATTGAGGGGGTTGTATTAGTCTATTTTGATTATTGGGGGGGAGCTACCCCTGAACTGCCCCAAGCTGAGTCTGTATCACCCCTGAAGTGCCCCATGCTGAGGGTGTATCACTGTACAACTGCCCCATGATGAGAGTATATCACCCCCGAACCCCCATGCTGAGGGTGTATCACTCCACAACTGCCCCATGATGAGAGTGTATCACCCCTGAACTCCTCCATGCTGAGGATGTGTCACTCCACAACTGCCCTGAGCTGAGTGTGTATCACTCCTGAACTACCCCATGCTGAGGGTGTATCACCCCTGAACTGCCCTGCGCTGAGGATATATCACCCCTGAACTGGCCCACGATGATGGCGTATCACTCCACAACTGCCCGAGCTGAGTATGTATCACCACTGAACTACCCCGTGCTGAGGGTGTATCACCCCTGAACTGCCCCGTGCTGAGGGTGTATCACTCCACAATTGCCCTGAGATGAGTGTGTATCACTCCTGAACTGCCCAGTGCTGAGGATGTATCACCCCTGAACTGCCCCGCACTGAGGATGTATCACCCCTGAAGTGCCTCATGCTGTGGGTGTATCACCTGTGAATTGCCCCTAAGGATATATCACTTCTGAGGAGCCCAGGCTGGAACTGTATCATCCCAAAACTTGGTCCCTCTCAGTTCTTCACTCTGCATTTACAGTTAGTGCTTCTCTCTGAAAGCTCACATTACATCATCTGCTATTGCACTCTGGAGGCATCGGCCCACTTCCCTCTCCATCATTTACTCTTTCTCTGTCTAACTCTCTCCATAAATTCATCTTTTGGTTGCACACTCATTATTTCTCGTAATAGAAGATTAACTTCATCCAAGATCCATTCTTTTTGCTCATTGTCAGAGTGGTTTTACTGTGGTTTCCTGTGGTTTCCTGTGGCTGTAACAGTAAACCAGCCTCTGAACTCATTGTAATTAGGGTTATGAGAGTAATGTGGACTGACATCATAGAGCGAGAGGAATCACAGTTTGCTGTCAGTCATTGCCTGCTTTCAGCCAGAAGGAATCCAGAATAACTGATAAATAGTTGAATCGAACGTCAGTGAATCAGATCTTCAAAGGCTGGGAGCCTTATTTCTTCTATTGCTAGAAAGGGAATTATGTTGTTTTGGAAAAACTTTCATTATTTATTAAAACCAACCAGTCAGTCAAGCTGTGTAAAATGCTTGGAATGAGCCAAGAATTACAGTTTGAAACACTAAAGAATGAAGTCATTGAATTCAAGCCACGGTCCTCTGCCCAGATACATGTTGAGAGTGTGGGAGGCAAGTTAACACTGCGCATACAGCCAGATCACTAACATGCATATAATACATCAAACTGCAGGGAATGACGTGCAGTCTCCCTCAGTGCAGTCTTAATGTAATGTAAGGTTCAGTCACTGTATCTGTACTATATTATATTAACACTTTATCTCAGTGCAATGCTAATGTTCAGTAGTTTACTCACTGTATCCGTACTGTATTAACTCTCAGTCTCTATATATTGTTAATGTTGTGTAGTGTTTATTTTATCTATACTGTATTAACCCTCTCTCTCAGTAGAGTATAAATATAGAATAGTGTTCAGTCATATTTGTATTTATACTGTACTGTATTAGTGCAGTTTCAATGTACAATAGTGTTCAGTCACTGTATCTATGCTATACTGACTTAATCCTGCCTCTCAGTACAGTCTCAATGTAAAGTGGTGTTCAGTCACTATATCTGTACTGCAATAACACTTTCTCTCAGTAGAGGATTAATGTACAATAGTGTTCAGTCACAGTATCTATACTGTACCGTATAAACCTTACCACTGTAGTGTTCACGTACAGTACTGTTCAGTCACTAAGTCTGCCCTGTAATAATACTTTCTGCCAGTACAGCGTAAATGTGCCTCTCTTCCTTCTTATGACGCCGCTCTCCTCCAGTCTGTAAGATAATGAGCATTACCTTCTCCTTATTTCTCCCAGCACCTCCGTTTGGCTGCCCAGGAGACCATGTGTGAGCTCCTCACTCTGCTCTAACAGGCACTACCTTTGCTTTCTTCCCTCCGGAATGGGTGTAAATGTTCGGTGCAAGTCCACTTCCTTCAAACCATCAGCCCTGACTTAGTTACTTTCTCCATCCTTTTATCTTTATTTTTGGAGCTCATTTGTTCAATAAGGTCTTTATTTTTAAATAGTGAGATTCAAGCTTAGATCACGGATGACGCAGACGGGAGACACACCCCCCCAGCTTTTCACGGAGGGCTGAGAGGGAACCACAAAGAAATAGGCGTGTGTCTGTTTCTTAGGCGTGCTACTCGCTCTCTTTCTTTCTCTCTTCCTTGTCGTCATTGTTCTGGTTATCTGTGCCTGTACTTTGATTTTTCATTTTCAAAAATGATTGGCAAACTAATCTCTTGTTGGAAATTAACATAAAAAATGAATTAAGCTTCACTTGCAGCCGGAGCAGTTTCAATCACGTTCGGCCACGTGAGCAGCCTCCTGGGGACAGGCTTGGAGTTATGCCCCCCCCCCCAAGGATACACTCTCTTATTGTAATTTTTTTTTAATGAAGGTGTTCACCCAAAAACAAATTAGCCTGGTCTCTCCCAGGGGTTTGGCCATGGATTGTCTGCTTAACCAATGCCCCCTCCAATGTTACCCCCCCTTCAGATTTGTTCTGCCGTGGGGGAGGAAAACTGGCTCTTCAGCCCCGGAGGTACATTAACGTGCAGAAGCATCAGATGATGGTGTGAATATAAGAGCCATAACAGTATGAGGGGCTTCATTACTCCCCCTGAACGCATTACTGCTCACTGTAATATAGAACGTCACTGGTGGCAGTTACATGATCAGACCCCTGACTACCGGAGTGACTCACGCAGATCCTCGGGGCCTGAGGGCGTGGTGACCAGCCCTCATGACCGTGACATCAGAGCTAAGGCGCGATGCAGGGCTTTCCTTCATTGCTCCCTGACCACTCACTTACCCACGCTGGGAGATACCATCTGAATATTACATCATCTGGATGTGACCAGCACCCTCTAGAACGTGACCGTAGGCATCTCACAGCTCCAGGATGTGACCATAATCGTCTCATGGCCCCAGGATGCGAACACAATCGTCTCACAGCGCCAGGATGTAACCATAATAATCTCACTGCCCCAGGATGTGACCATAATCGTCTCATGGCCCCAGGATGTAACCACAATCATCGTAGCACCAGGAGCCAAGGACAGTTTGGTTATACACTAAGGATATGCGAAAATGTCACCTGTCCCTAGAATATGACCACAGCTATCACATTTACATCAGGATGTGTCAATCTCCTTAGACCGTGTCAGCTTAGAACTCCAGATCATGTCTATGAATGTAACTGTCTCACAGCCTTCCTTTGAAAAAGGGACAGTACTGGTGAATTCATTGAGGAGCACAGAAATCTGATAACAAAGCGCGTGTTTCTTTGCATGTGCGCCTGTGAGAGTGTGGGTGTGTGCATAAGTGTGAGTGTTACACTGGGTACACGTGCCACTGTGTTCATGCGTGTGTCTTGGCGTGTAGGCGCCTGCGTGGGAGTGTGTGTCCATCCCTGCAGCTGTGTGGAGGTTGCGTAATGTGAAGCCACTCTCTGCATTTATCAAGATGAGCGAGTGGGAGAGCAGAGGTGTGAGACAGACAGGGGCTCCTGGTACCCGTCCATACATCCAGCATGTTATCAAGGGCCACAGCCAATAATTGGCTGGGGGGCGGGGGAGTTCCTTGTAACTCTGCTTGAGTGTAGTGATTTGAATGGTCAGTGAATTGTGCAGTTCAGGCCTCAGCAACACTGACTGAGTGTAAAAGGGCACAGTATAGTTCAGATGTAGATAGCTGTATGTGTGGTGTTTTGTGGTATTGCACTTAAAGCAAATTAATATAACTTAGAGGCTTTTGGTGGCCTCTGGTGGCCCAGAGGTGGAAAAGCAAGCAAGAATCGGATTGGACTTGGAAAGCAGAGCTTACAAAGACGTACGTGAATACATCAGTGCTCAGGATACAGGGGACGACGGTCAGCCTAAAGATCCTCCCACAAACAGCCTCTTTACCTTATAAGGAATCATTTGATGTATTTTGGCTCCACTCCAGTTGTAAGAGTCGCAAGCTATTATTGAAGATGGCCATCTTCATAAGCATCATTCTTTTTTTTACAAACATGTCAGATAGCAGGTTAAATCACCAATTTTCTTTATTAAAAATCCCAGGGAATACAGCATAACTCTACAGGGATCGCTGGATATCTCTCCATCTGAGCTGGATATCAGGTAAAAGGAAGACAGGCAAATAACAGGGAAAAATCAGAAGCAGAGAACAGAGAAAAATTGATGTTGAGAGAGCAAGAGGGAGCTGGAGAAGGAGGATCTCCTGGCATCCATCTCCTGCCATCTGCCACTGCGGATGTGCCGACTGCAAATTCATCATGACCACCCCCTTCTGGCAGCTGCACACAAATACTATATATGGTTGGATGACTTCCTCTTCACTGCAGCCAACCTCCCCAAGCACCTTTCACTCGCTCTACGTCTCATTTTTCTCTCCCTTTGTCCTGGGTTGGGAATAATACCCCATTGCCTTGCTGCCCGTCCAACAGGTGGCGCTCACTTCTTCGCCATGATGTAGGCGCCGAAGGGGTGGAACTGCATGTCGCGAATGCGGCGGACCGACTGCATCCGGGGGTACCGGGCGCCAAACTCGTTGAAGTGCCTGAAGTCACCTTTCTCCAACAGGTACTGGCTGCCACGGTAACCTGGGAATTCATACCCGACCCAGCTGTGATCAGGGGAAAAAGACATAGGGTGAGAGGGGACCTGTGCAGCATGGCACTGGAGATTTAGGGTAGAGGTTTCAGTTTGAACCCAATTGTGTTGTGCTTGTGAAGGACATTAGATGCGATTAATAGGTGTATCTCACTTGTATCTAACTTGAATGTAGTTTATAGGAGAGAGTGTGCTGTATTCCTGGTTTTGCTGTTAAAGGGGGCATTAAAAGGAGTATCGTATGCATCACAACCCAACACTCACGTGCCACAGCCCACAGAGATGCTGCCCACGCGGTCGGTGAAGCCATAAGCGAACAGGCTGGGCACGTCGTCATCCAGGATCTCCATCTTACGGCCCTTGAAATGTCCCACCTCAAAAAGGCAGATCTTGTGCTTCTCTGTGTCCTGAGGAAGAATTAGGATTCGACAATTAGAGGAAATACACACTGCACACAGATATAATAAAATGTATAAATAAAGATTAATTTGTTTAAGCTGAATTCATATATTAATCCAGGAAGAAACAACAGTATATGTAAATAAGTTGTGAAGGAATTAATGAGTGAGTGAGTGAGTGAGTGAGAATGAGTGCATGATGGAATGAATGGGTGAATGAATGTGGGAATGAGCGAGTGAGTGAGAGAATAAGTAACTGAGGGAATGAGTGACTGAGTGAGTGTTAGCTGGTACCATCCTGATGGGTCTGAAGGACATGAGAAACTCGTTCCTGTAGCTGTTGCTCCAGCAGTCCCAGCGAGGGTACTCCCCTTTCTCCAGGACGTACATCTCCCCACAGAAGTTCATCTGTTCGTAGCCCACGAAGCTGTGGAGCAGTCAGTAAGCCGGTGAATCTCCTCGCTCTGCTCCCTTGGCGCGGGCGGCAGCGCCAGCGGCGTCACTTACGGGCCACAGTGGACGCGGAGGGAGCGCACGCGGTCAAAGCCGGCCTGGCACACGCTCATGCACTCGCCCGTAATCTCCATACACCTGCCCTGGAAGTTCTCCTGGTCAAAAATGCACATCTACGGGAAAAGAGAAAACGAGCAGCTTTACTCACAAAAGGACAACACATGATGCCTTTGAAGCAGATAAGCAAGCTCCCGAGCTCCCCCTAGTGATGCAATGCTGCATTGCTTCAGAATAAGTTTAGGACACCATACCATCAATAAGGGCGACCATTTCATCCTTGCCAGGGGGGACATTATAAGATAGGACAGGGTTTGTAAGCTACCATTTCAATTAAAAAGTCCTGGATTTCATTTTAGCCATGTGCTGACTGTTCAGTCTCCTACAATCATGCATATTTTGATAGTTAATATATTTTATCCATCTTCAGAAACTGCTTAATCCCAACTGGGGTCACTGGAGCCTATCCAAGGAACAATGGGCACAGGTGGGAACCAGCCCTGGGCGGTTGCCAACACACCACACACACAACTACAGGGCCAATTCAGACTCACCAATCAACCTATCCTGCATACTTTGGGATCATGGGAGGAAACCAGAGCCCCTGGTGAAAACCCACACAAACACAGCAAGTGTGTGCAAATCCCACACAAAAAGGACCCGGGACCGAACCCGGGACCAAACCCAGGACCTTCTCGCTGGCAGGCAGCAGCGCTAACCACTGTGCCACCACAATACATTTAACCTTCATGTAATTTATAACATTTAATACTTAAATTATCGTTACATATTTCATTATTATTACTATTCAATATTACTATCATTATAATTCATCATTATATAATTATTATACTACCCAAATACTAATCTAGTGTTTTTACTTTTCTGTATATGCCTTTGCTAAACGTTGAATGTTCTTTGCAATGTCCTTTTTTGTTATGTCTTGTAAAAGTACCACAATGGCAAATTACTCGTATTGAAACATACTTGACTAATAATACAATAAAAATTATTCTGCCAGTAATGTTGTTGGATGAGTCTTTTGATCAATGAAACAAACCAATAAAAGCACAAGAAGAATTGAACTAGTTAGCTAAGCACATGAGTCTTTCAGTTTTAAAGTGGTGTGTAAATCCTGAAGTAGGTCAAAGTGTCTCCCCAGACATTAGGTGGTCACCCTACCATCAGCCTATGCGGCTTTGCTCCAGCCATGGATAGAACAGCCACTTACTGCAAACACCCAGGTGAGGTTTCACTGAAGAAATCTATCACAGGGCTGGAAAACATGTTCTCAGCTTGTGATTGTTCATACTGGACACCTTGGATACTTTCTGTCCAAAATAGACTGTATTCAGCATACAAGGAAATCTCGGCTGAATGTCAATATGTGTACTTGACCGTACTTGTGTTCTCTTGCCCCCTTCTACGTCATCTTCTATTGCCAAAGAATAGTTCCAATACTCAAGAACAGAAGTACAGAGGACAGTAAAAATCCCCGGATGCTGGTCTTGCTCCGCCCCAAATATCAAGGATACATCAGTTGCGTCCTTATCCGAATGAGACCTATCCCATGATCCACTGCGCCCAAAGTTCGTTTTTCGAAGGCAAGTTAGCAAGACCGATCTTGCCAAGACCGCAAGTACAGTCTTTGCGTTCTTGGTATTGAGATTCACCCCTCATATATGATTGAGAGTCTGTATCGGTGCCATAAAAATATGTGCTTAAGAGACTATATCTATCCCATGAAAAAAAGTTACATTCCCAGCCCCCAGCACTAAAAAGGCTACAGACAGACTACCTGGTTGGGCTAACCCGGCTTGCGCTAACCAGGCCACACTTTGCAGTTGCTGTAGGTGCAAATCTGGTGAGCATGTGAAACAGCTGAGAGTCAAGCCCACACCTTGTAGGGTATCATCATGTCCATGTCAGAGTTATGGGGAGGCTTCCCATCCGACTGGGAGGAGCCCTTGGAAGATTTCTCAGTGCTGGATGACATGATGCCTGAGGGGGAAGATAGAAAGAGCGTAATCGATTACTTTACCGCGCTGAAAGCAAATGGCAGGAATCTTTAATGAGCCTGATGTTCTACAATGACTGAAGCTACTTCCATCACCTCCTGTTTTTTGTATGGCCAGCCTGGTTGTGTGTCAATTGAGTTATCTGCCTGCTCCGTCTCCACCTACCTTCTATGTTTCCCTCAGTCAGGATGCGCCGTTCCCCCTCATGGCCCTCCCTTTTATCCCCCGACGCACGGTGGGGGATTATCAGCAGAGAAACAAACCTGCTGAGCTCACAGCAGATGAAGAATGAAATCCCTCCATCATCAAAGTGCAGGGAGAGGGAGGGTGAGGTAGAGAGCAACGGGAGTGAAGAAAGAAATGTACGCATACATTTCCTGTGACTTTTTAGCTTTTATTTCTCACTATTAGCTATATGTCATGATTTGGACCGAGAGCATGCACATGTGCATGGTGATAGAAAGCCAAGTAAACAAATGCTTTGGACACTTTTAAACCCACCTAAGACTTCTGCTGCTTTGAGTGTGACTGTTCTGGGGAGCTTGGTGTCAGATCACAGAGGCCTATAGAGGTCTCTCATTGGGTCACATGTATTAATCTACAGCCTTAAGTACGTGTGGTCCTGCCAAATGAGCAGATATGAAGTAACATGGTTACGGGGCCTTTCTGTGGAAATTTAAGGGCCAAACTGGCAGCTAAACAGGCCAGTGTCTTGATTTTGCTAGTTAACGAAATGTCTGCCGATATCTGCATGTTATTAGTTGACCTACAGTTCCCTGGGTCAGAGGTGATGGCAGTGGGACTTTTATGGGATGGTGTCCTCCTTTCTCTTGCCCTCTGTATTTTGCAATCTTGCCAGGCCTTATTTCAAAGGGTATTTTCTCCTTTGTAAAGTTTCCAAATTGTACTCAAGAGCTGAATGGACCCATGTGCGTCTGTTGGCGCCTCAAGCTGCGTGCGCCTCACACCCACAGCCAACAGTAACACGCCATACGGCAGACAGTGCTGACGTCTACGGATGCACGCAGCGCTGTTTCTGTGTCCATTCACGGCCCCCCCTCCCCCGCATGCGTGCATTTCACAGGGTGTATGGCGCCTCTGAAACTCGTCGTCTGCTGACTCAGCGGAGCAGGCTGAAAGAGGCGAGTCACGCGGTCACAAGGACACACGTCACGTCTTACAAACACTCTGGCCCTCGCTTGAGGCAGCAACAGCAGTGACATGAAGCTCCCAAGCCCCTCAGAGCTGCATTCCAAAGTAGGGTGAACATCAGAGGAACCACAATCCTCCACTTCACTGATCCTAAATGGGGCTGGGATTTAATGAAGCAAAAAGAATATCTGAAATCTAGTCTGATGCAATTAATAAATGACTACAGTACTGGTAAAAAACACAAAAACATGTTTAACGTATGTCAGCAGACCAAACAGGTAAAGCCTGATACTGTGCCGCGAGACTCTCCTTGGGGTGAATGACGTCATGTTCATTGTGAGTGCCACACCTGTTACATAGCCTATAAATGAGGTGGAATATAATTATGCAAATTATAAAAAAACAAAAAAACAGTGTTACTGTGCCAATAATTTTGAAACAAAAAACCACATGTGGTGGTCGATTTCCTTCCCCGTAAATGCCCAAACGTGATAATAATCAAAAGTACGGCCTCCAACGAAACGGGCTATGCAACATACTGCAGTTAGCAGGTGTCATTCACTATACAACCATTAGGTGGCTGCTCACATTTCTCCATAAAATAACAAGGATTTATTTATATACGTCTTTAGACTTAGGTCTTCATCTGGTATAAAGACAATTCACACCGAAACGTTTATTCGGTCTGTTATCATAACTTTATTACAGATTAACTGCAAACTTAAAAAAATTGTACAGAAACCCAAGGAACTTTATATTCAGTAGAAAATTCAGTAAGTGCAAAATAGAAGGTGGTCAATTACTACGTTACACATCATAACAGAAATGCATCTCAGCTTACTCGTGGGGTGCTCCATAAATACAGACATATACTGTACACACCGCAGCGAGCGACAGTCCCTTATTGCCAATTAGTATGCCACGTTCACAGACACCTCCCTGCTATACCGTCTAACAGCAATTCTCCAAAAAGCACCCCACTCTTGCCTGGTATTTTTATTTCCCGTATAGTACAAGCAGCAGACCGGGGTGGGAATTCGTAGAAAAAATTGAGAAATCAGTCGCGGAGAGGAATCCATTGGTCCCGGGCGCAGCCCACGGCCGTCCGCCTCCTCAGGAGCTCATCTTCCTCATCAGCTCATCGTCCTGCACCGACATGTCTGTCAGCTTGCGGCCCAGCCGCTCGTGCAGCTCCATGTACTTGGCCACGCAGCGATCCAGACACACGGCTTCACCCTTGGACAAGTCAGCCTCCTTGTAGTGGGGCGGCACACACTTCTTATGGCAGGCATTGATCATGCTGGTATCGGGTAACAGTAATGTTGATTAGAGGTGGTCTGCTGCTGAAATGCTGCTTCACATCCACATTATACAGCCTGACCTGCGAGTAGTTTGCAGGATCTAAACACCTTGAGCTACTTTCGTTACTCTTTTTTTAAATTAAGACGTTTGTGTACTCCAAACGAACTGTCCCTGTTCACTCAACATCTTCTGTAGTCATTTTAACATTAGTTATCGCGGAAAAACGGAAACATCAAAATTACTTTAGACCTCCATTGAAATTTAATAGCCTTTCGAGCGTAATCCCCAACTGCCACCACGCTTTACAACCGAATTAAAGAAGGTGAAGGAAGATAGTACTGTAGTTAGTAAAGAGGACGCCGTTTGTTACCGGTTAAACATATCGGCCATCATTTCCACCTCGAGCTCGCCCGCCAGCTGATACGCCTTCATGGGATCCATAACTGAAAATCCGAGATGAGCAGTTAGAGAAAAAACACGCGCGTCCCCCGAAGCTGAAGTACGACAAATCTTCCGCTCATATTTAAGTTTCAAGTTCAAAAACCCATTCGTCTAAGCAATACGTGTAAATAGCGACACATGGCGGTCATTCGTGTTTCTCCGTTTACAGCAAATGCGAAAGTTCCGAAAACGTTTTGAATACTTTCAAAATCAAACTCCGTGTCGGCTGACTAATTGTAGTTATAATAGTGGATTATTCAAATGAACATAATAAGCAAAAAATGTTTACACACATAATCTTGCACGAGGGACAGCCTCAGCTGGTTGGTGGTTATTTCATCTTTCAAAGTAATACTTCATATGCGTGAAAGATGTTAGAAAAAAGGGAATAACTAATCACGTCATGCTGGGTTTTGACTTATAGCAGGAGCCAGATGTAAGTCAGTCACTGGCTACAGTCTGCAGTCTTACCATTGGTACATGAAACTACCATGACACCAATCATTACTACTGTATCCAAGGTAACTGAATACATCACCCATATATTCAAGAGAAAGCTGCTGTAGCGTGACCATATCCACTGAAAATCAGTTCTACTAACGGGATGATTGCAAAAAAATATGCGGAATACAGCCCTTTTCCATCCTGCCCATTAAGCATTTGGTGCCCGCAGGTTGTATTTTCTTACGTTAAAAGAAGTTATGCTGCTTTTCCTAGAAAGTTATGGTGACTGACAAACCGTACTCACTGGGAGATTTGTTACCAAGAGGAAAATGGGCGCAGGAGTGAGTACAGTTTAGGTGATCACATCTATCTCCTGGTCGTCCTCCGATGACTCTCTGGGACTGATGTCCACCTGCATGGTTACCGGTAGCTGGTTCAGCAAAACGGCAGGGGGACTGGAGAAATCTATAATATCGATTTCCTCATCTTCAAGTACTGGTTTTGTGAATGTGCACAGAATCTGATCTTCCATTGGGTACTCATCTACTCCTCCTGAATCACAGCCATTCTCCCCATCTCTCATTTCAATCACTTCTATATCAACCTCCTCCTGTCCTTCCTCTTTTTGTTTACTTGTATCCGTCCCCTTTTCTGAATTTCTCTTTTCGAATCTACTTTCAATCACTTCATTAACCTCCTCTTGTCCTTCCTCTATTTGTTTTGTGTCCATCCCATTTTCTGAGCTTTTTTCAGACCCACTCTCAATCACTTCTACACAGGATTTCTGATAAATCCTGAATGACTTCTCTTCTCCCTGTTCTCTAGTTTCTAGTCTATACTTGACTCTTCCCTTTCCTCCTGCTTCAGCCTCTTCTATTATCTCCTCACATCTTACTTCCTTTTCCTTTATTTTTGTAGTTTGATTGATTCCTCCCATTTCAGTTCTTTCTATTTCAGAAACTCCAGTTAGTTTGTTGTTAGTCATCCCAGCTTCCATAGCATCTACCTCTCCTGCTACATCTTTGGTGTCAAGGCCATTGCCTGTTCCTACCGATTGCAAAATGTGATTGCGACAAGCTTTCATCAATCCTTTATTTTTATTAAGGCATTTTCTCTCACCAGTCTTCAACCTCTCTGTCTTCGTCAAACACGTGCCAACTTTCTTTAATACTTTTCTAGGCTGAATTCCATTTGTATTCTTAAGTTCAGTTTTTCTTTCTCCTTCCCATAAGGTTTTGTCATCATGTCCAACTTTGACTGTATTATCTCCTGACCTTAAATCTCCCAGCTCATCTCCAACAACCATGTTAATCTCCCCCATTCCTCCCTTCCTGCCCAGAGTATCACACCCCTCCTCCGGTTCAGTGTGCAGACCCAAGTTCTGGTTTTCTGCTAAAATTACTGCCAATTCCCTTTGGCTTCTTGGTTCTGGACAATCGGATCTTACACTTTTGCTGGAACATGTCACCTGTGAGCCTTGCATAGGAGAGAGTTTCCATGATGGAAGCAGGCAGACATTTGACCTGCCCTTCCTCAAATGTCCCACCATAGCCCTATCTTGCGTTGTCTCTATCAGACTCTCCTTTACTCTTTTACAGTCCCTCTCAGATGGGTTGACTTTTTCTACTGTCTTACACTTGCATTTGTCACCTGTTTTTTGGTATAATCTTCTTGAGTCCCCGGTGGCCTTATAGCACTCCCTTGTCTTACTGTCTGTTTGGATTTTGGAAACATACGTAAGATGTCTATTGGGACTTTGCCTGGGAAGTCTTCTGACTGCAGAAAGACCCCCGACACCTCCAGAGGATTTCACTGGCATCTTAATTTCAGTGATTATCAGTTTCTCTGTAATACTCATAGGACTGAATATGTAATCATCTACTTTCGTTTTTTTGTGTCTCAAAACTTCACACTGCTTCTGTTTTTCCGCCTTTCTCTTTACACAAGAATCTCTTCTTGTCTCAGTATTTATTTCTTTTTCTCTTTCTCCATATCTGTCCATTTCTCTATGCCACATATTCAAGTTAGGCATGTCATTTGGTGCAGAAAGTTTAAAATCATTGGTCTGATGGAGGGATGTAAACATCTGTGGAAGCAGTTTTGCCTGATGGGAGGCAAAAGCTGTCAAGCCTTGTTCTTTTGGTCTGTGAAAGTCATTTACCATTAAAGGACATACATTAGGGGGTCTGCTAATGTTACCATCAGCACTCTGCCAATCACAGGATGACGTCCTCTTAAATGGCTCACCTAGCAATATGTTATTCCAGAATCCATGTGAAATATTCACATTACTTCTACACCAATTCAAAAGTGTTGCATCTCTGAGTTCAGATACTTCACTGTCCTGTTCTCGTTCTCTATCTTGGATAGCATCAATTCCTTCTCCAGGACTTTGGAAAGATTTCTCCAGGCATTGATTAGGGAATTCATTTTTAGATGACTGCATCAGGCATTCATAAATGCCAGCAAGGCCCTGCAAAGGCTCCCTGAGAATTGCATTGTGAAGTTGACTGGATGGGCCTGTTGTCTGAGATTGCTCTGGTGTTTCATGAGAAAAGTGCGAGGAACTAGGGTCTTGAAGCATCTTATAGTGTTCTTCAGCAATGAATACATTAAGATTTAATGTACTTTCTAAAAGACTCACCGCTGGGACCGTTGGCTCTTCAGGATCAGTTTTGTCCCCAGAAATTGCTCTTAAGGACAGGGAATGGGACGGAATCTGCATTGTATGGACTTGCCTGAAAACCTTGGGTGCACAAGCCACCACATTGTTGAGCACTTTGTTAGTCTGCTTGACTGGCCCAGTAAAGTTGCAAATCTCGCTGCTTTGGCCTCTTGGGGTGCTGCAGTGGAGCCCCGTAGCAAGAACAGGTGTTGGCATGGATTGGAGATTCCCATCCTGTACTCTGTCTACAGTTATTTGTGAGCAGGCCAGAGTCAGGGCAAGGTGGGGTTCAGAGGTTCGAGCCAGAGAGCTGCAGGTCTGGGATGCAGTCATGTTGTCCGTATTGTCCATGCAACAGACAAAAGGGAGATTGTGTGGAGGGAGAATGTGGGAGGGAGTGTGAAGGGCATCAGCTTGAAGGAAAGAAACAGAGGAGCATTAATATATCAGTGCAACATGAGCTCCACAGATCAACATGAACACCTACACATAAAACGGAGAACTTCATGTTCATTTTCATGAACACCTGATTTTATTCCCAAGTTCAGCAAATTTACGCCTCTTCTGTACTTATGACTGTACACAGACTTATAAGGACCAAAAATGATCTATGACTGCACCAACTGGTCTTTATAGATTAAAAGTTCAGCATACTTAAATTTGTCGATGCAAGTGATTTACCCAGACATTGAATGTTTGCAATAATACCGCTCACCTGTTCCCATGCTGTGCTGGGGCCTTGGGACCATCACCACACCTGAAATGGTGCCACCAGCAGAAGAGGCTCCCATGCTGACCTCTGGCATCCAGTGAGTGGGCAGACCTGCACTTGGAGGACTCCTGTTCTGTGGCCGGTGAGGCTGACACCTGCACGCATGTGCACTGTTAGGCTTTTCAGGCGCAGAGGAGAGCACACCGAGTCCCACAGTGACATCCTCAGACACACAGAGTGAAGATGCATGCAGGCGGGATGGACTGGGATGGGGACGCTGTGCCTGCAGAGAGGGGAAATCAGGGGTGAAGAATGGGAGGAGAGCCTGGTGTGGGGGAGGGGGACAATTAAAAAGATTCTAAATTTCGGCATTTTACAGGAACCCACATGCAGTGGTCGGCACAGATAACCAAAACATTAGCTTTGATAACCCCTAATACACTAATTCCAAAGTTTCTTAAAATTAATAATGTTAAACCAATTAAACCACTGAAAATTTAGCGCTAATGATGACCATTAACTGTTATATGAATCTAGCTTTGGTTTGGTTTAACACTTAGAGTGTTAAAATTTAACTTGTTTAACACTGAAGTCCCATCTGTCAGACTACAGCGATTACCAGGGGATATTTAGGACTTTTCCTAATTAAATATCTTTGGATTCTGTAGTGTCTCCGAAATAAATCTGCATTGAAATTGTGTCTGTGATATTCCATTTGCTTCATATAAGCATTTTTGTTGAATTTCTTGCTCAGCTGAATAGCTTGTTGGATTTAAGGTAGTCTGAGCTAAATGTAAGTGAATGAAGATAAAGTCCATTTAAACTAGGGTTCCTTAAATCCAAGAAGTTATCCAGCTAAGAAAGAAATCCAGCTTCGTGACACAGGCCCCTGTTCTCCGCTTGGTTCAGGGTACCCCAGTTTTAATGGACTTTATCTTCGTTCACTCTAGCCCAGACTGCCTTATATCTGATAAGTTATTGACAAATCATGTCTTTTTACACGCGTTTACACGTAGTCAGACAACGTGCCAGATAGACTGTTACAGATATGCTCACAGGCAGGAACAAATATGTATGACTAACATTTACTAACATTTTTGACCATCAAACTTTATGAGCTTTACCTGTGAAAAAATGTTAGCAGAACAAAATTTAGCAGATGTTAATTGGTCTGTTAATGGTTTTCAAAGTTAGTGGAAATGCTAATCCACTAATAAAAAAAGTTAGCTTCACTAACTGGTGGTTAGCGGATTAGTGGAACCCGGCCTACCACTGCCCCCATGAGGTGATGTTTACTACTCAACCAGTAGATCACCCACTGACATCTGCAGAGTAGTGGAATGGGACACAACCCAGCTAATTTAACACATCCACACTTACCCCCGCAGACACCATGCTGAATGCATACTGTACATCTAACAACACTTCAACCGCAATATATTATTGACTTAATGATGAACATGTTTTCGTCTTATTCCGAAAAATAAGTTTCCAAATGATTTAGGATACATTGTTATTAAAAACTCAGCTTGCAGTCAAACAACAGTATCCTTTATTCCATTCTAAGGGCGGTTTTCCACCACACCAAGTACCGTACTTTTGGTACTTTCACTTAACCATTGACTTCTACACATACACACGCAGTACTTACACACGCAGATCAAAGTCTTAGGCAGGCAAAGAAAATGATGTTTAGATTATCCTTGTGTTGGTGTAAAACTATATTATGCCTGTCAAAGTGTGTCAGCTTAGCCATTTCAGAACCTCTGCTAAAATCATCCCAGTATTTGCAGCGACCGTCCAGTACAGCCATGTATTTTTTTGACTCGGCCACTAGCTCACCCCATACAGCTAGTCAATCTGTCACTGACTTTTTAAACCCATTTTAAATAAACAGCTTTAAACATTTCTTTGGACTGCCTAAGACTTTTGCACAGTACTGTATATAGTGATGTGGTCGGAAGAAAAGATACAACAAAAAGATCAGGATGGCGTGACAAATTTAAAAAGTATTTTGTTTAATACACTAAGATGTGTATATACTAGGATCCTAACAATGTGATTTTGTTATAATAGATGTTGGAGTATTTATAGAACAAAAAAGGAGTTTGTAAATTTCTCTCACAAACCCATCTTCAAGTGATTTAAACATCAAGGATGAAAATGATTATGATTGTCGCAGAAAATGCATGCAGCGCTCGTACAAAAGCAGTAGAGATAAGCATTAAGCTAATTTTTAAAGATATATTAGATAATATATAAAGGGAATCATAATTAAAAAGCTAGGCATTGTTTTTTTCTAAAACAGAGAAAAAATATTTTAGTGAAACTTTAACCCCCTGCGCTATAATGTCCATACAGAACTGAAAGAAAGAAGCAGCCTGATTTTAATATAACTGACTAGCGATGTATGAATTGTTTGTGCACAACATGCGATTTTATTATTAGTTTTGCACGTTGTCCAGCCCTATAATATACTACAGCCATTTTTCGAATTCAATACAAATTACCCCGCCTTGCATTGTGATGTCATTTGGCACCAGTACCAGGTTTTATGGCAGTGGAAAACCAACACCTTGAAGTACCGTACTTTTGGTACTTTCTCTAAGTACCAAAAGTAAGGTACCTGCTGTGGTGGAAAAGCACCCTAATGGATTTCACAGGTTTCCTGCTTGGGTCCTCTGGTTCCACCCACCATGTTGAGAGCACTGCTGTTCACCACAGCTTGACTTTCTTGTAGGTCTGACTGCCAACTCCAATGGCCTGCTTTTACCATTGGACACCGTGGCCTGGGTTTGATGGTGACATCTTGCTCCCTCGTGCTCACAATCTCCCAGAGCTCTGCTCTGGACTGACGCCGCAGTTTGATTTTAGAGATCTGTCTTCCTCTCACTCGTATATTGTTTCTAGTCCCCACCAAGTGTCCTCCTCTTCTTTTCCTCCCAACCATAGTCTTTTCATCACCTGCTTCTTCTCTCTGCTCTATTGTTTCCAGCTTTGCAATATCCCTGGCTTCCATCTTGTCCACTTCCCCATCTTTGTTCCTACTACATATATCATTCCTTGTGATGGAGACTTTAGCCTGGGAAATGAACAAAGGAACAGTAGCGACATCTTCACTGAGGGTCATGGTGGAGGCTTCAGCCCGGGATAGACCTAATGGAGCAGCAGTGACATCATCACTTAGGGTCATGGTGGAGGCTTCAGCAGAGGTGATATTCTCCAGGATGTGCTCAGACAGTCCGCCTTTCACCACCCGATGTCTCTCTGTGACTTGTATTGTCCTGCTCAATGCCACTGTTCCTCCATTCCTGCTCGCATCTCCTGATCCTCTTCCCCAACCTCTCTCCTTCAAGGTGTCCACATCCCCCTTGGTTCTGCTTACAGGCTCTTCCTCTCTGCACATCTTTTTCATATGCTGTGCCCATCCATCTCCACCCACCTCCACACCTTCCTTGCCTGTTCCATTCACCTCCACAAGGTTCTCAATACCCAGCCAACTGGCTACAGCCAGCACCTCCTCCTGCTCCAGCTCCCCCTCACCCTGCAGCTCCCCGGAGTACAACAGACCCACCAGCTTCAGCAAGGTCTGGGCCCTTATGCTCTGAAGCTGAAGCAGGCGCCCCTGTCCAGATGTGAGGACTCGGGCAGCAGAGAGCGTCCTGGCAAGCTGAGGACTGAAAGCAGCCAGGACACAGCTATGGACAGGTATGGAAACACCTAGAGAAGGTGGGAGAACAATTTAGGTGACTTATTTAAGCAGCAGCTGCACAGAACAGGCAGAAGCAGCCTTACCGTCAGCCTGCAGCATGGTGTCACAGAACAGGCTAGCATGCTCCTGCTGGCGCTGGAGCTCCCGCAGGAGCCGCTGCTCGAAACCGCACAACCATCGCCTCCACATTGGCCTTCTGCTGTAGGGGGCAGGAGCAACACTCTGCCGCCATCAGCCAGTATGGCTGAAGGCACTTTCTAAATGAATGGAAGTAAACATCTTTTGCAGCAAAACACATTCATTAAATGCATTGACGTGCTATAATATAATATTAATAAAAAAAACTGATGACAAAAATGATACAGGCAGGTTAAGCAAACACCGAAGATGCTATAAGTATTACCAGGTTATTTGTCAGGTATATATGTCTTCTGTTGTGATTTCAATTAAGAAAAAATATCTAGCAACAACAGATCAAGGTGTAAACATGTCTATCCGTGTGTCTGTGTTTGTCTGTGTCTCCTTTTGTTTGTGTGTATGTGTCTGTCTGTCTGAGGCCCTGTATTTACTCAGACAATCAGATCGCAAGTGGACAGCGCTAAATACAAATGTAAACAACCATTAAGATGCATTGTGATCCGATCACTCAAACACTTGCAGAGCTGGTCTGGGATGCATCTGGCCACATATCTTTTGTAGTGTAAACGATAATGCATCCTGATTTGTCCTCGACAAGGATAAGAATTAAGATTTTTGTTTTCTTAGCTGGCCCATGCTAGACAAATCTGGCTTTGTCTGGTGACAGAGACTTACGTAATATCTGTGTGCAGGGCCATTTGACCATCTAGCAGAAGTGACGCAGGCAGTAATGAAATCTGCACACAAGTGGTCAGCTGGACACCTTGGAGACGCATAATAGATCCTTGGAGACGCATGACAGACACAGGTTTAATTGCCGATGTGTCTTGGCTGTTCATTTGTGATCCAATTGCCCAAAATGCATTTTAAAACCAAGTGTAACCAGGGCTTGTCTGTCTGTCTGATTGTGTGTATCAACTACCTTTCACTTTTGGTAAGGTAACTGGCCCTAGCAGCAGGATCAGCACTCACTTTTTCCTTACTTAAAAGTGGTATCTATTAGGGAAAAGAGGCTCTGTTGTATTGTATTAATTGTGACATAGCAGAAACATAACACATTTTATTTACAGATGTACATTTTAATCTTTGAGTAACATTTCTCCTATCACTGATTTATTGGGCTTTTTAATTTGTCTTTTAAAACTACTATTCATGATTAACACCCACTTCATTCTGATACATCATGAAATCACATACATATATTACATTATATATTGCATAAAATTATAAGCAGAATGGAGTAAAAATATGCATTAGCGATAAACATTTGTACAACACCAAGGTCGTGCAACATAATCATTTTATCCTAGCTTTATAGTGCTTTGATGATAATGTTGGGGATAAATCACTTTTTCCAAAAACATAACGCTGAATACTTGAAAGTAGTTCCACATAGTTAGTCCATAATACATCTATAACCAGCATCATAAACTACTGATATTTGACAAAATTGGCCTCTAACAGAAAAGCTTGTAATAGGAGTTAAATGGTGTAACCGATTATAGCATTTGACATTTCAAATTAAAATCAAATTTGACAGGCATTATCATGGATACCTATGTAACCACAGGGCCATGGCTTGAATGTTTCAAACATAATTTTTAAAGTAAATATTCATTTTCAGAATTATGATGAATTGCCCATGCTTTCCTGGGGACATACCATCTCACATGCAAATTTAAGCACACCTAAACATACCCTAAAAATGTCAAACTATCTGATATTTTAAAGAGTGTTATTAACCTTGACATACACCAATTAGGGCCAAATATTTTCTCAAAATTTATTAAAACCAGACACTTTAGACTAGGTCCACAAAAAACAATGCATGTAGGTAATTTATGTTCATTTTCAAATTTTAACAGCTTTAAATTGAACTAAACCATATGGACACTGAAATTAGCGTCACGTCATTGACCCATAAACCCACAAACATACGATAGTGGTGAGATTGCGGTTAGAATTCATTCTTAGTTGATTTTATTAAAAGGTTTAGTGAAACTGCAAAGCAACAAACCAAACCAAAAGTTTACCTGGAATCGAAAACTTGCTCTTATTTCATACCTTGTTTCCTTCACGTTGTACACAGCAGGTTCGCCACTCACAGTCCCGCGTTAGCCAGAGTGCGCGTGCCCGCGCCGTGTCTGTAGCGCAGGGAGATCCGCTCGCCAGTCCTATACGATGAAGCCGGTTCCGTGACTTAAAGTGGCCATAAAATAAAAGGAACCCGCGCGCCCTTCCTCGTTATTCCCGCCAGTTCTGCCTTGATGGTCTCGAATACATCGCTCACAAACGGTCTTCTGACTTGGCAGGGGTCAACACCATGGCAAATTCCGACGTACATTTCTATAAAAATACAATATTTACCATGGACATGGTACTTAAAAACGTAGTCTACATAGTTTTTTTTCTCATTCAAAACATTTGTCCTCGAACACAGACGAGTCTTGCCACGCGCGAATGGGTTGACGATTCCTGTGTACGGACACTGGCTGTCGTTCAGCTTGTTAACACCTTCCAGACTGCAAAGGTTAGCTGTGAAAAATCCATTAATAAATGTACAGTCAGTCATTGCTGTGCAGAGACTTTTCGGTGACGGGTGTTCGACCGGGAGGGGGCAATCGTCGGTGTTCGTATGGACACTAGGAACCTCAAAAGTCGGATATTTGCAATGGTTCGAGCAAAAGAGGCAGGTGTTCAGGGACCCACAGCCCCGCACTCAGTGAAGTTTTTGTTCCTAATTTAATATGCAGGGGCAATTTCACCCCCTGCTGGTCAGATGAAAATACAATCTGAACACACTGAGTTCATTAAAATTAAATGATATAGTAAAATTATATTTGAAAATGTGGATCGTGTTAGTCATCTCAATGTCAATGTATTAATTTTTTTAATTAATTATCATAAATCTGGATAAAGAAATCGGTAATCTCTGTGTTCCGTCATGGCATTTTGCCAGAATGTGCGATAGTTTTAGCGGATTGACTGGTTAACTGCCTGCGGCACTCACCTTTTCAGCTATATGACTACTTTAGACATAGGTTTTAGGATTTGCATTTGGTTTGAGTGTTGCACAGTTGAGGCACTGTTTATTACATTGCTATGTTGCATACATGTGTAGCTCATTTTGGTGTAACTTGTAATGAACAAGTGGTTGGACTCCCTCGCCTTACATCCCTTTGGAGAAAAGCCTATTTGCCTATAGTAGGAGATATGCTCCAGACCAACTAAAATGTTCAAATTTAAATTCAATTTTAATGTATGATAAAATATACATTCCTAATCCTGTATTTCAGTTTATTTTTTGTTAGAGAAGGAGCATGCACTGATTACAGTGCATTGCCACAGCCACCACACAACAAACCATGAGAACCTGAGTGCAGCCATGTAGCAGGTGATACCTCAGCACCACACTAGTCCAAATGGACCAGTGTGAGGTTTTTCCAGTGCCTGGAGTGCCAATCCTGCCACCAACCCCCAAGCTTTTCCCTATAAGTCAGTGGACCTCCTTATATGGCTGGATGTAGATTAACATCATACCCAGGACAAGGCAATTGCAGATGAAGGGCCTTGCTCAAGGGCCCAATGTAGTAGAATTACACTGGGCATTCATGGGATTTGAACCAGCAACCTTCTAGTTGCTGGCACAGATCCCTAGCCTCAGAGCCACCACTCAACCTTTGTTACAGATCAATAATTAGAAAAGACACTGAAATTAGGAATACATTTCAAAAATACATGTTTTATTCTTCCCATTACAATTCCTCCTCTTTGGCACTTGATGTTGATAGTTGAAGTGGCATCTCTCGACACTAGCACTATGTACAGGAGGTTGAACGTGAATTCCCAGTGCCAATGATTGCAAAGAACCAGTCACTGTTGTCTGAAAATATTTTATTTAAAAAAGTATTGCTAGTTACACCTTTCATTAAAAAAACAGAAACACGTTTAAGGTTCAAGCAAAGAGACGATGATCCCAAGGTATAGTATTGAGAATTGACATTGACCAATGTTTTTAAAAAAGGAATCTATTTTCTTCTTATAGAAATTAATGCTAAATGTACTTTAAATGCATATCAGTTTACTTACCACTCCCAAAATGGTTCCCAAATCATAATCCCAAAAATATAATATAAAAACACAATATTTAAATTGGAACAATGAAAAACACTTACTGTCTGTATGTGTTTAATACAGTGTTTCTCAACCCGGTTCTCAGAGACCCACAGAGGGTCCACATTTTTGCTCCCTCCCAGCTCCCTGCCACACAGTCCACATTTCTGCTAAGTCCGAGGACCGGAGTGGGAAACAGCTTTGGCTGCCATCACGCTGACATCTGTAACCAGCTACTTTGGCTACGATGTAGAGTTGCAATGAAACGCTCATTTCTATAAAGTGACTTTTAAACCACAAGAGAAAGCAGCTATGGTTAGCAGGAGAGTGTAGGCAGTATGCAAACACGCTGCACGGCCGGGGCATCAGCCCAGCTGTTCGATATAACATGACCTGCAGGGGGTGCTATTGATTAACTCATTTATGTGATATTCTGTTGGAATTCCTCTGCGTAATGACAAAATATTTACTCCCCAATAATAAAGTTCTCATCTTATTTACAGAAATTTGTGAGGATTACCAAGGAAGCAGACTAATAAAAGCTTTTAATGGCTTTGTGCGCAGGCGCTATGTGGCCCTGTTATAAACGGCCAGCTGTCTGGCCGCACCGCCCCTCACACGCCACGCTACAGGTACCGTACCACAGGGGACTCGTGCCCAGCCTGCAGGCCATCACATTAACTGTCAAAGCGCAGAAATCACACGCCGTCATACTGACCAAGTACACCAGCCCTACATAAATAGATACATTATTAATCTAATCTGTACAGTAGAAACCATTAAGCATCATCTATTAAGCATGATCCAAACACATTTTTTTTTACTGAAAACTAATCCAATGTACATTTATAAATCAAGAGCTATTTTTCTTCTTTTGGAAAAAGCTGCTCGTTAAGACTAAAGGCGCAGTGGGATGTGAGCATGAGGAATTTGGGGCTGGCGGGTTTGCATCCGAGAGGCTCAGCGTGTAGGGATGGGATGGTCCCTCCTGTTCGTGCAGAGGGTCAGTCTGTGTGTGTGTGCTGATTTAGGGCGCGAGAGAAAGGAGACACCAAATGAGAACATGAAGTGAGGAACGGCTTTCTGAGTGCTGGCGCTCACGTCACAGGCACGGCACCCCATGCAGGAACACACGTACCATGCAGGGTCATGCATGAGGGGGGGGCATGGTGGGGGCTAACCATCATAGGAGTCAACCAGAGGCATGGGGCTTTTTGGGTCCTCTTGCAGCCCGCCCTGGGGACGGAGAGAGGGCGAGGAGGGGCGGGGCCAGGGGGAGGAAAAATGACAGGAGCTGGTTAGCAATCACAACCGTTGGACACTTCAGAAGGAGTGACCATTGCTCTCTGAGCCAAGTCACCCCTCAGCACGCTTCAAGGACGTAACCTGTAACCGAGGAAACTTTGTTATGCAGTCTGATTCACGCAAACGCTTGCCCTAGTTCTCACTGCCCTGGCTCAGCCCGGTCCAGTAATTTAAAGTTAAGTAGGCGGCGAGACTGTGTACGAATGAGGGCAGCACAGGGATTACGTACCTGGATGGCATCTTTGTCTAAAATGTCCATGGAGTCCATGGTGTTCCTACGTGCCCTGTCATCCAGGGTTGAATAACCCTCTGCAATAGAGAAAACAGCTGTGCATACAGACAGAAGGGCTGCAGTCATCCTGATATACACACGAGCAGCTAGTCATCATCAGAGTACACACACTCTGGAGACAGGACAGGGCAGCGGGCCCCAGGACAGGGCAGCGGGCCCCAGGACAGGGCAGCGGGCCCCAGGACAGGGCAGCGGGCCCCAGGAAAGGAGCCATGTACACAGACATGTCAAGGAGGACATGGAGTAGACTTACCAGGACCCAAGTCATCCAGTGGAATCATGTCTGCATCTCTCTCCTGCCGCTCACCTGAAAGGCACATGGTGGTGAGACATTAAAAGGACGAGGGCACAACTGGACCAGGAAATGAGCAGCACTTTCCTGGGGGAAGGTCAGTGGTTGCTCAGCGAATGGTACTGTGCTGTCTGCATTGTGAGCGGACTCTTTTTGGTAGCACAAATACTAGCGGCTTAGAGTCCACAGGGGGCGCCCTTCGTTGGTTACAGCTGCTGTCAGCAACACCCTATCAGAATGCTCACTCCTGTCGATGAGAGGGTGGGTGCTGTCGTCGTGGCCCCCATTGCTGCGCTTAGTGCCTGGAGGGTTGGGGTTCACCATGAAGTCGGTCTTCTTCCAGCCGTCCTTCTCTAGAGGGCGCCGTAGCTCCTTAAATCCCCACACAATCTGAAGAACCTGGCCTGCTCCACGAACCTCCCGCTCCGAACGGTTCCTGCCACAGAGAGACGGATCAGCACTTAAACTCCAGGGTAAGGCAGACAGGTGGATAGATAGGTAGGCAGATATACATACAGGCAGACCAATACAAACAGACAGGCACAGACAAGCAGGCAGACAGACAGAATACAGACAGAGACAAGCACAGAGAGACAGGCAGACAGATAGATGGATATACACAGACAGGCAGACAGACAGACAGAGAGAGAGTCTCCAGTGCCAAATGAAGGAGAAGCAGCCATGGTCTCACCCGTCCTTATTGATGAGCACGAGCCTCTCGATGCCTTGAGCAGCACGTAGGCTCTTGGCTGCCTCCACACCAGAGCTCATCACCTCAGCCAGCGTGCCAAGCACAGACACCACGGTGTCCTCTGACAGAGCCCGTGCCGGCTGCTGCTGCCCTCCAGCCGGCAGGTTTGCCACCAGGTTGGGCACGGCGTGCCTCCCTGCGGCAGCGAGAAGCCTGTTCAGTCACAGGCCAAGGCGCAAAATCGAGTGTGACTACTTTACACCTGCAGCCCACAGCCGGCACCTTGGATAGAGCAGCTCCGACGCTGTAGAGGCGCCAAGCCCTGCCCCTTCCCCACCATGTTCTCCACTCACACACACACACACCTAACAGCTCCCTGTTCCTGGCATCCAAGGAGAGGTTCCTCATGGCCCCAGACATGGCCCTCACCACGCGGTCACTGCCATGACTCAGCAGCTCTGTCATGATGGGCAGCCCCTTCTCTAGCCTCACCATGGCACGTATGTACCGCCCGTACTGTAAGGAAGATACAGTGACTGAACACTACTGAGCATTATCACTGTGCTCAGAGAGTGTTAATACAGTACAACATAGATACAGTGTCGGAACAATACAATACACAGTACTGATAGACAGGGTTAATGCACCTCAGTATAGATAGAGTAACTGAACACTACTGAGCATTAACACTGTACTGAGAGGATAATACAGTACAGTACAGATAATGGCTGAACACTACAGTACATTAACACTACTGAGAGCGACTACAGTACACCGTGAGGGAGCACACTGAGCCGTCGGCATAGCAGACAGGGGGAAGCACTCACGGCCCAGCGACCTGCACACAGGTTCTGCAGAGCCCCGGCTGCAGCCTCCAGCACGGCGGGATTTTTGCTCTCCTTCAACAGCGGGATGTAGAGCCGCACGACCTCTGGCTGGAACAGCTGCTCATAGCCTGCGGAGTGGGGCAGCTGGGGTCACTTTCCAAAGCCAGGAGACGGGATTATCCGCCAAAGATCAGCCACGGAACCCATACCTTTGGCAGGGGTTGCTCTCTTGGGGAAGTCGATGACATCCTCAGCCGATTTCTCTGTATCCTTCCTGCCTGAGAGACGAGTCATACACATGAATACAGTTTCACGTATACGATGTTCAGTTAGCCGGCAGCGCACAGACCTCAGTTGCCTCGTTTCCAACAACACAAGGCCGGAGCCGGTGCAGTTTTAAAACACTCTTAACACAGCGAGTAAGAATAAACTCATTTACATACACAGATGGGGGAGAAATATAGTCTTTAACGAGACAAAGGTGGATACAGGCAATAGAGAGAGAGCAACGGGTCATACTCAGAAAACTACGAGACTTTGGTCTCCTTAAAGGCTCATCTGTGTTTAATCAAAATAAATCCAAAAATGGAATTCATATAATCCTTTATGGCCAAAAGGCAGGCAGAGGCACTTTATTGATGCTGAAGGACATTTAGGAAATTACTCTCACTTCTGAAGTTACCAGCTTCGTGTTGATGGAAAGGAGGGAAGCATGGAAATGACGTTTGGTTAGCCATGTCCAATGGTGCCCAGTAATTAGTCCAGGTGTTAGCCAGTGTTTAGACAGCATGTCCCAAGCCACCCGGTCACAAAGGATGAGAAGAAAGGCTTACCTTTAGAAAACCACTCGTCTAACTTGGGAAAAGCGCAGTGGGGGCAGGTGCCGGAATAGGAGAGAATGGAGACAGGAATTTAGCATAAGCAGCAGCCCAACCACCAAAGCAGCAACTCAGCTGGAGGAGTCCAAGTGAACAACACGGGCACACCAACCCCAAGCAGGGCCCAGAACAATATCCAGGCAAACGGGGGCTTTAGGCCGGAGCACTGGGACCAGGCGGCGAATGCGATCCCACACGCCCGGGCCCCATGTAGACCAAGCACTGACCTTTGCCCTTCCGGGAACCGAAACAGCTGGCCTTTTGGGAGGAGCCTGGGGCACCTCCCTGCTGCATCGGCGCCACCTCCAGGTAGCGCTCATGCCCAGGAATTTCACGGTGGACTTGGTAGGAGAGATTCCTCAGCAGGCACACGCTGTTCTCTATGAGCTGGGGCGGGGCGGGGTGGGGGCATGTTAAATGCTGTTCGCACCCCCCCACACACATACACACACACCAACTGAGACATGGAAGCTTGACCAAACAAGACAATGAGGGAACAAGGACAAGAATGGGGACAGAAACAGACGAACGGACGGACAGACATTGTGTAAGGACAGGATTTGTGTAAGAACCTTGTTGTCCACATCTTTCCGGTCAATCTGGGATTGGACGATGTACATGAGCGCATCCACCAATCCTGTGCACTCTCTCAACTTGCGTCTGGCCTCGCTGCGCTCTGAGCTCACGTTCCTGAGAGAGAGGATGCCGTTGGTCAGAGGCGCTCCAGCTCCTGCTACTCCCTGACTGCTGCTCTCTACCCGCCTCCTCCCTGTCTGGACTGCACTGTTTCCTCACGCCGAGACCTCCTCCCGACTCCTGCGGCGGCATTAATGCGTGTGTCCGTACCTCAGGCAGCCCACGGTGTTGGTGAGCGCCGTCTCCCACTCCAGATGCCGCGGCTTGCAGTTCTCCTCTCTGCCACTGGCAGCAGCCTCACCCCCCCTCTCCCAGCCGGAGTGGGGAACGAGCACCTCATCAGAGAGCGCGTGCAGGGCATGGTCCACAATCTCCATCTTCACAGAATCGTGGGAGGACAGGTTCCACAGGGTGCCTGAGTGGAAATGGGGAAGCAGTGAGCTACACCACTGTGCCCGAGGTCTGAACCCGTGAGGGTCGCAGTCAGGCCGTGGTCAGAAATGCAGTGGTTACCAGCAGCGATATCTGTTAGTCCGTGGTTACCGGTGATGGTGATGGAAACGGTGAGGGCTGTAGCTACTGGTGACGGTGTCGGTTAGGGACGCAGTCAGTGTCGACGGTTAATTAGTGGTTAACATGGATGGTTGGTCCATGATTATTGGTGATGGTAATAGTTAGGGGCATAGTCACCGGTAACAATGTTTGTTAATGCTGTAATTACCGGTGACATAGTTACCGGTGACGCTGTCTGTTATAGGGCCATAGTTACCGGTGACGCTGTCTGTTATAGGGCCATAGTTACCGGTGACGCTGTCTGTTATAGGGCCATAGTTACCAGTGA